GAATTGACAACTTTAAACTCATAGGAAATCTATAGAAAACTAGATGTTGCTATTTTTAGAATACAGAAGGGAAATTAATTTAGGCTGCTAATTTAGTCTTTTACATATTCTTTATTTTTCTTACATATACTATATATATATATATATACATTTACTTTGGATGAGTTTCGTAAATTAAACAAGAAAAGCTATAGAATATATTGATAAATACCAAAACATGAATAAACGTAGTTTTTTTTACATCCGTATTTTCAATTATACGAGTGCAAATTATGCATGCTTGTCGGTGCCAGACCCACCAGCGGCCGAGCGGTAAAGTCGCTGAACACCGGTAGTTCGGTCCGAGGTTCGAATCCCGCGAACGGGCTGGCTGCATGGGTGTTTTTGTGGATTTTTCCCATGTGTAACGTGTATACGAGCCAGTTTTCCTTAGAAAGTCCTCCACGAAGGCATCCCTCCCCTTAGGCAGATAGCCGTAGTGTGCTTTGCCATAATTAAATACACCAACACCTTGTCGGTGCCAACGCATGCACACGAATCGGTATGCGAGAGAGTGCGTAAAAAAAAGCGCAAGTCCAATCATGCTCTAAAAACCGCTGATGTGCGTCTTTAGGTTTAGTTTCAGCGATTATTTCGCACTATTTATTCTACATGTGCCTACTCGAAAGCATCATCTCGATTGATCACCGAGATTTTTAAGTTTCGTACGTACTTTCTTGAGTATTTTCCTATTATTATTTTAAAAATTGATCAATTTTAGAACTAAAAAAGTGAAGAGCATTCTACATGTATTAAGCGCAAGAAAATTGTTTTAACTTTAAAACAAAAAGGATCTGAACATGGCGAATCGACAATAAAGATCGCCAAAGAATATGGAACTGGCTCGCAAACTCTTCGGTAAATTGTTAAACAAAAATTATTTCGACTAAAGGGAATTCGAATACAGTGATAAAACAGCATTTTGAACAATACGCAATAAAATTCTTTGATAAATGTTTACATTTCTCACAAACGAACTAAAATAACTTTTTTTAAAAGAAATATACGTATATGATATGTTTGAAAACTTATAGTTTGGATTATCCGTGTTTTTCAATTATTCCTGACTTGCTTGACCAGCATCACCCCGAGTAATCGAGAGTGTATTGAAGTCAACAGATAAATAAAAGGCTAATTACATTCCTTCTTCCCTTAAACTTTTCAGACTGAGAAACCCTACTTTAGCAGTTTTAATGCTGAAATACTTTACTACAATAGCAAAACATTTCTCAAGTGTTTTAAAGATGTTATAAATTCTTCATGAGACTTGAATCTCACCCAAAAACAAATTAAAAAAATTTCCACGTTTAAAGTGAAGTATATAAAAGTTATTTATTTATAGTAAAAATTTTACCATTCTTTCATGAACTTTATCTAATGAAACTAGGATTAAGACGAATCTTAAATTCTCTTGAATATCTCCAGTCATTCATAAGCCACCAGGTTTAAATTTCGTACACACACTGTTGATCGATGACAATGTAAAGCAGGGATGTCAAACTCATAGGTACACTTGGGCCAACAACAAGGTTTAACTTTAGGCGGGGCCGAAAAAAAAAAAAAAAAAAAAAAATCATATTTCATAGAAACGTAGATTTATTTCGAATAATACAATAATAAACATATATATATATATAGTAGAGAGAGAGAGAGAAAAGAACAAAAATTTAATGTTTACGTCCTGATACTTGACATCTCTTCTCTGCTATTATTTTCCTATTTTGGGAGAAATTTTGTTTGCAGTGATAACTTTCAACGCTGACCCAAGGTGAGCATCATTAATACGGTTTCTAATAGGAGACTTATTACCTTTCATGACTGAAAATAACTGCTCGCACCGATAAGTGCTACCAAACATGGAAATGATTTCACATGCGAATTTTCGAGTATTTTCAAACCTGGCTGGTAAATATTTGTAAACTTCAGGCATGCCCACTTCAATGAATTTTGCTTTCAAATTTGAGTTGCATTGAATCTCGATCACCTCCATTTGCATATGGCTGGGTACTGAGTCAATATTTATTGAGAAAATCGAAGGAAACAAAAAAAAATTTGTCTTCGAGGGAACTAAAATCATTAAACCTCGTTTCAAATTCAGTTGTTAAATTTGCAATTTTTTTTGCGTATTTTTGTTACGAACAAGTATCATCTAAACTTGATTTGTTCATGCTGCACGTCGGGAAGTCATCAAATCTTCATTTTTAAGTTGTTTTTCCCAAAGAACTAGTTGATATTTGAATGCTTTAATTATGTCAAACATGTTCGTAATGATAAGATATTTTCCTTGTAACGATAAATTTAAATCGGTTAAGTGTTTGGTTATATCAAACAAGAAAGAAAAATCTTGTATCCATATTGGATCGTAAAACAAACTTACGTCTTGATTTTTCGTTTTTAAAAACTGACATATTTCTTCTTTCAAATCTCAGAATTGTTTGATATCTTGGAGTAAGATAACCAACGTACCTGGGTACAGTAGGACAAACCCGAATATTCACTATGTAACTCACTTCAGAAAGCAGTGAATTGACGCTGATTTAAACCTCGAGATCTTATAAAATTTATAACTTTTTTTATATATGACAAAACATTCTCCATATTTATTACTTTCGTGCATAGAACTTCTTGATGTATAATACAATGCATATGATGAATGTTTGAACCGTGAATTTCACTAAGTTTTTTTCTTAGTAATGCTACTATTATATAACTACTATATTATATTATATAACTATACTATATTATATTATATAACTGATACATTAATAGTATTATTACATATCAAGCAGATTATTTTATCTTTTATTTCACAGCAAAAATATTCTAATTCGCATTTTACTTGGAATATTCTATGTTCGTCAGCGATTTTTCGTTTAATTTTACTACCACTTGGTTTTGATATAGACATACTGAATACAAAGGGCTGGAATAAGCACGGTTAACGTTAAAAAGTTAACAAAAATTTATTCTTTCCACAAGAGATAAATCAAAATGCTGAAATAATTCTTCAAAAATATTCTAACAATATCACAAAATGTCAAACGTTTAGCAAAAATCAATTCAAAACAGAGAAACTAATTCTATCTCACAGCGAAATCACTACAATTCAATCACAGCAGTAAGTAAACAAACAGTTCGCTAGAACTACAGCTACTACTGAGATGAGTTGTTTGTTCTCGGCTTTTATAAGCTTTATAATTAATTTCTCGAATATACTGGAAACATCTATAAATATCTGGATTTTTGTGGATGGCAACAGCAATTACGAGATATTTATTTATTAGGTATTAAATGCACGCGCTGTTCTATTTTTAACCTTCCAACGCAGCTGTCTTTTCAAAAATCGTCTGCGTTGCTAAGGCATCATGAAGCAAATCTAATTACAATTCTAAATTAAAAAAACTAAATAAATAAATAACTATGAAATCCGTAACAATATGAATTAAGTAATAATTAATAATAAAGCAAAGTGCATGCACATGCATGCACCAATATATCGTACAAAACTATGATTGGAAAACTGAGACCATGAGTTCGGCCACATTCGGCTATCGGGGGATGCGTACAAGTTCTGAGTGCACGTGTTCCCCAAAAGCCGAAGGTAGCTGAACACAAGCTACTCACACGCATTTGTAATTTAAGTAGTGTGTGTCAGCTCGCCGTGAGTAATCTAACAACACTGAATAAATTATCGTTAATTACTTAGCAGTAAACATTTAATTTTTTTCTTCGTCGATATGTTATTTTATTATTATATATTATTATTTGCCGATATATTGGCCGGGCCACAAAAATATTTGTTGTGGGCCGCGAGTTTGACATCCTTGATGTAAAGTGTTGAAGAAATATATTTAAAAATTCGAAGCAGATTTTTTTTATTTGATGTTTAAATGAATTTTCGCACATACCTTCCTTTAACGAACAAGCTTAACATATCACACTTTTACTGTTCTTATCAGCGAACAGAGCTAGAAAAAAAAAAAACTTTTGAGTGAAACTTAGATGAAGATTATAACTTTGTTTGTGAGTTTTTGGTGAATTTTTGAAAAATCATTCGACTTTTTAGACTATTTGACTTTTATGATTTTTAAATTTCAACACCTATAAATGTTTTGAATATAAAGTTTTGAAAGTTTCACTGATTAAAACTTATTTTTCGTCATAAAAATATTATTTGAGGAATTTCCTACACTTGTGCTTCTGAAGCAGACGGAAGAAATAAGTGCTGCTTATAGGAAAATTGGTTTAGAGTTCATCATCTTAGCACACTCGATGAGTAAGTGCCGATGTTCGCTTTTTTCGTTTTAGCTTGAAGTAAAATATCCGTTGTGACATTGTTATTACGCCCATTTTCCGAAACTGAATATTCAAAGTGCTTTCTTCATTCTCTGAATGAAGTTTAATTATTTTTCTTTATTTCGTAATTTTCTTACAATTTATTGCTTGAGTTTTAATGACTGAAAATTTAATCATCGATAATGTGCAACTGAGACTAAAAACAGGAAATAAAATGCAACTAAGGAAAAGGATTTATACAATAAGTTTTTATTTAAAATAGATATGATAATTAATGTACTAAAAGGAGAAGAATAATATATCCTATAATTCGATGGGAATGATAAATAACTGTATTTACAGAATTACTCTACAATTCTGGGCGCCTAATAACAAAATCTCTTAATTTAATTGCATTGCCAAATAGGTTATTAATTATTTTTGAAAATGTATAATGGACATTCTGCGATTTTATTATTCGCGATATAAAATTACTGAAGAATTCTGTGAATAGAATTTATTCCCGATAAACTATACGATAAGTCGTTTTTCTCCTTTTTAGTACATCAATTATCATATCCATTTTAAATAAAAGCTCATTGTAAAAAATAATTTTCTAATTTTATTTTACTTTAGGATCAAATTTGTTTTTCTAAGTATGGCAGAAGTAGGCCAAATTTACTAACCTTTAGAAATGATTGGAGGATCGCAGATGGTATTTCTAAGGTGAACCAAGGACCGACCACTTAGAACTGGCAAAACAAAGTACGTTGCTAACAAGTCTCCAAAGGAGCCGTCAGGCTGTTGTTGATCTACCAAGAAGGTCAGCGTCTTTTTGTGATTCCAGTCTCCACTGCAGTTGAAAGACATAAGTGCCTGGAAAGAAAGAAATACCTGTGTTACATTACGCTTAGGAGCGGATGGGACTAGTCTAACCTGATCAGGCAAAGGCACCTTTTTTCAAGTTGCTTATCGTTGACAAAGGCGCAAAGGTCCCATAGTATAAAGGCTCAAAGGTGCCGGTATCATTTAAAAAATTCATTATCTTGAAAAAAAGAACCCTCATTAAGGCTATTCATTTAGGTCCATATGAAGGCCTTAATCTTGATGAACATTCGCGAACTTATACAAAGGTTACGGTACCATTTAAGTTGAACCTCGCTTCCACGGATAGTGGTCCCATGGCATAAAAATAAAAAATGTGATAGGAGTCTTAAGTAAGCAGTCCTCGTCAAAGTGCTGAGACGCTCATCTGTAAGTCTTAATCTTGCTGAGCAGTCGCTAACCTGCACAAAGTTTCTGTAAAATTTTTCAAGTTGACTGTCGCTCGCCAATACACAAAGATGCCGTGACATAAAGGCAGAGATATGCTAGCGCTCTTATAAAGTACGGTATCGTGAAAAAGGCAACCCTCATCGAGGCTGCTGGGACGCCCATGTGAAGGTTTTTAATCTCGGCTGACAATCGACAACTTGTACAAAGGTTCCAGTATCTTTATAACATTTTATGAAATCATTCTTGTGGCAGAATATGAGAATTTATTGTCTTTATGCAATGCAGTAAAAGAATTAGATCCAACAGTGAGGAAGTTGCGACGAGTTAACAACGGCTTTGGGTTTAATACAGGTACCATTAGTTTATCTTTCGACTTTTTAGAATGTCATCAAATTTTTTTCCCTATAAGTTTATCACTTTTTGTTGCAAAAACAATTATAATGAATGTTTCATTTTTTAAACTATCGATATCAAGTAACCATGCAGCGTCACAGACACCGATGCCTCGTGAAATTTCCTGAATTATTGATAGTTCCATCCACCAATGATTAGATTAGCCTAAAATTCAATGAAATTACCCCAGCAAATTGGTGTTTATCTAAAAAGGGCAGAAAAAATAATGGAAATACTACCATTTCTATAAAAGTATCAATCTAAGTCTCATTTCTCATCACAAGCGAATCATCTCATACCGTATTTTCTCAACTATTTCCCTCCTTTTTTAAATTAATTTTATCGTTCAACATTCGTGCTGGGAAAATTAGCGAGTCTTTTAATTTCTGAAGAACGCGATTACCGTTAGAAGATAGCAAATGAAAAGAGGTCATGGATAAACTATTGGCAGCTATCACAATATTATTTTTTAAAAGAAACTTACATTCCAATAAGAATACATAGCAATACTAACATTACAATATCTGACGATAACTGAACTGGTCACGTACATATCGGCTCAGTTACTTTGCAGGGAACTTCCCATGAATTGAGACTTGACTGTAGTTTCCAAGAGTTCACATCAGAAGAACGAAGAAAAAGAGGCGAATAAAAAAGACCCGGATTTCGAAAGATGGAACAAATCAGCAGTAGATACGGCTACAATGAGCTGGAACATCCAAAGGAAGGAGAAAACACATGTTTGGAAAGTTTCTTAAGTGTTAGAACACCTGCTACGCCCGTGTAGCTTGATGAAGAATCTGCATAATATACATACATTTTAAATAATAACTGGAAGGGAAAATATGAATGAAAGGAAATGGGAAGGGATGAAATGCTAATATAAAAAAGGCGAATAGAAATTGAACACATTGAATATAAAAATAATAATAATAATAATAATAATAATAATAATGAAAATAATCAATTTACCAATAAATTAGCTACCACAGGGCAAACTATGTACAAAATAGAAGGGGAAAATTACACGAATATTTAAACATTTTTCAGAATTTACAGTTAAAACGCTACGGCATTGTTCGTGCTTGAAGAAATATGGCATTGTTCATGCTTCTCTGCTCAACATTAGCACTACGTTCAACCGGTTTGGATCACTGCATGCATATCACAATGTTCCTATACACCATATCACCAAAAGTCTTTCTCCGGACTTTATTTTCGTAATTGTTAGTCGTAGAGATATACTTCCAGTCATAAAATGTTTTAAATTGCGCAAAAATTCATATTTTGTCACTTCAAAATCTGAGGGCAACAATAATGTAAAAACTACTCAATCTGACTCTTTACACTTTGCTTTAGTCTTTATTACATTTAGGAAATTTTTGTACTTGTAAAAAATAAAACGCGAAGAGTTTGATTCCAGTGCAATAAAAAGGTGACGGAGATATTTGATATCAAAATAGAGAATGAAAATACAGAGAAAGAAATAGAAGATAGAGAATTCAGGCACCGTCGGCAAAGTGAAGAAGTAGAATATTTGCATTAGTAAGTAACAAAAAACAAATTATCTTTTAGAAAAAGATTTCTATTATTAATAGATTACGTGACTAGCATCTCTATGCATATTATAGAGGAAAAATACTGATCAATATATATATGTAAGATATAACAAATTATGATAGCTGTTTCAAAAAAATAATTGGCGACCTCAAAATTAACATTCTAAATTCGGTAATCTGCCCCTAAATTCATCTCTTCTCATAGGTTCCAGACTTTTCTATCTTACGTAACGTTTTAATGCAGATGCCTCTTGTCCAATCAAATTAATTGTAAACCAAAACTCTGAACTGAAACTTTCCCACTCCCAACCTTCGTCCTCTGAAAGTACTATAACTCTTCCCCTTTACGGCATAAGCTCTCCTGCCGCCAAGATGCTTTTTATGTAAGCTGCTGCCGCTTACTTGCTTAAAACGACGTCGTACTTCAAAATGCAACTTACTGTATTCAAATATAATTAGGAAACATTTTGTCTGAAGAAGGATGAGTAAAAAAAATAAAGATTGTTATTTTTCAAGATATTTTGTGCTAAATTGCGTGATTATGCTTTCCACTCTGCCACCTTCACCCCACTACCGTCTTCTCAGCCATCTACGCAGTATCGTAAGCTGTTAGAAGTTCCACTGTTGTCATCTACGCATTTTAGAAATCCTTACACACACACACACACACACACACACACACATATATATATTATATATATAATATATATTGATCAGTGTTTTTCTAGAAAACAATGGCAGGCTTCGGTACTGGCGTGCGGCCAACTCGAAATATAATTTACATTAATTAGAAATAAAAAGTGTTTGCACTTTAAAGATTTTTTAAGTATGACCAAATTATGGTTCTAAAGTAATAAAACTTCATGAGACCATTAATAATGCTGTAATGTTGCGCGCTTCCAACCTGCATGCAACAATAGTGGTGACTGCTAAGAACTGGAAAGTAGACAAAGTCTTGAGAAGGGTTTAAATCCCTTTTTATTCAACTTTAGAAATTACAAATGCGTGCTCTTGACGCTCACAAACTACGCCGACCCGACGGTAAAATAAAAATAAGAAACTAAAAAAAGAATAATAACAAGTGACTAACTACGAGGCTCTCTAAACGTAACTGACCTAACCGCGTTCTAAGATACTGCTGATAATTCAGAAAACTTCTGAATATTACGTTGAAAGATTCAACAATCTGCCGAGGCAAGCACACAGGCCGAAACGCGTGGTTCTTCAATTTCTAACTAGCCACCTCCACACTCATGAAGCAAGAAAGCACACTTTCGAACTCGTTTCCCTTCTATTTAACTCAGATTACTTTCGCTGACAATTTGAATCCTTGCGCGTTCTACTAAAATTAACATACTCTGGCATTGGCAATTCCAGGGGAAAGTAAGGATTGACAGGAAAGATAGTTTAAACTTAAAATAAATGTTAGTTAAAATAAATATAAACCCTACATTTGCCGCTGCGATAATTTGGTAAACTTGGAAGCAGGTCCTAGAAACGACCTGTTGAAAAGTTTCCACAATTCTGAACTAAATTTTAAGAGCCTCGTTTACATAAAAAAACTGTTTTTTCACAAAATAGAATAAATTTCTGTAAATACTTATTTAACTCTCTCTTCTTACAGCAACCTTTCCTGGACTTCAGCAATCAATCTGTTCTCTTCCTTCCAGCATCTGGAAGGAATAAGTATCAGTATCTTTCTGAATACATTATAATTTACACTTTCTTGACACTGAATAAGTTTTTGTTTTTGAACGATTTATTTTCCTTAGTTACTGCTTAATTCACATTCATTCAAGTATTCAAACATGAATTTAACTTTACCCTGGCTCTCCACCATGTGTGGTGTCAAACGGGAATATTCGTGTTTTAGTATTGCAACACTTCCCCTAACCACAATGATTTGTTAGAATTCATCGACAAAATAGACACACCTTACTCGACATTCTACAACTCGATGGGCTATTTTAACATTCTTAAAATTCAAGTGTAGGTAGAGAACCCTACAAAACACATCCATTCTAAATTCCCCCTCATTCATCTTTAGACATGCAGGCTTTCGCTCTAAAGCATGATTTTATCTACAGTTTAATACTTAAATTTGAATTCATTGCTTTAGAGCATTTACTTTTAGCATCTAAAATTTTATGCTTCTAGTCTAAATTCTACTTTTACATAACTTTCAAGTATTTACGTATATTTACAAAATTCTAATACATATGATTTTTACAATTTACCATAAAATGAATAAGAGAAAAATAAATTTTTACTTTACTCATTCTTCGCCAAGCTGGCGGCACTGAAACTAAAGTTCTTATTAATACAAGAATACGAAGTTATTTTTATCTTCGGCCAAATTTTGGCTTTAACAGAATTAGTCTTTCGACCAACAGAAACTGCTTGTTCTTAGATTTTATACTTAAAGAAAATAATACTTTTGCCTTAGCTAAATAAAGTAAAAGAAAACTAAGTCTCAACCGAGACACATTGACTTCCTTCAAAACATAGAACTTCATATTTACGCATAACATTTCGGAACAAAAGAAAAAAATTTTATAGAAGATTTTAACTTGTCTTTGAGTTTTCGATGATTGGAACTCCGCCATCCTCTTCTGGCAGAACTGCTCCCACGTTATAGGTTTCATCGAC